TCTTCCCCCCCACTTCCGATATTTTCCCATATTTCCCGGGAATCGACGATTAATTGTGTCTGTGTGTTCCTGATTTCTGCTTCCTTACTGTGACTTGTTGCTGAACGCGCGAGGGGGTGGATCCACAGACTAGCTTTTTCTTTCACCACGCTCAAATCGCGTTGTCTGAATTCCTGGGGAGGCGTGGGACACGTACAAATACATTATATTCACGTCCCCGAAGCCATAAGCCCTCGTAAATTATACCATGTGCGCGTCCCTGAGGCCATAAACCTTGATAAGTTACCCAAAGATTGGCGCCCCCAAGGCCATCAATCTTAGTAAATTACACACTAATCGCGCCCCCCAGGACACAAACCCTCGTAAATTACGCAGTACTCGCGTCCCCGAAGCCATACACAATTTAACAGTTCCTAGTATTCGCGCCACCGAAGCCATAAACCATTGTAAATTAATATTGGCCCTCGCGTGAAGTTTTGACATTGCTTCACGTCAGCGTCCAGACATACCAACACAGCTCTGGCAAGTCCCATTCTAAGACAGGGGGGCCGGCGATATGGGGGCGAAGCCCTTACGGATAACTTTTGAAATGTGGCTATTACATTGGCGACGAGAGCGTTTGCCTTACAAGCTTTGGACACTTAGACGGATGCAGGGCGCCCCCTTTGCAAGACAGGGTCTCGCTTGAAACTTCAGAGATAGAGACATGGAACGATTACACTGATGGAGGGCGCCTCGTGTCCAAACTGGGGCTATCCTTTGAGACTTCCCCAGCTATTATGCCCAGTAGTGTTAAACAGTTAACGCATCACGACAAGAACGGGGGGGGGGGGAGCAAGTTCAAAACAGGGCTCTCGCAGGACACCTTCTTAAACTGTATGAACCTACGCTGTGGCACTTTATAGCTAGGGGGATCCAGGCGAACCTTTTCACGACGAGGCTCTGAGCACTCGTCTTTCAAGGGGCGGCGCATGCTGGGCTTATGCTGGTCATGCTCTTCATCTGGCATGGACTCGCTTCGCCCGAATCTCGATTCGCTGGGGCTCGCTTCGCCAGGGCTCGCTTCCTGCGGCGGATCCTGACGGCCAGGTCGGGCGGGCTGACCACTTTTCCAGCAAGTCCTCCTCCTCCTCCCTCCTCCTCCTCCTCAGATCACAGCGTCTCGAAGGCCCCCGAAGGTTCTGGAGGCGTCCCGAGCCCCCCCGAAGAGTGCCCCCAAAAAGCTCCAGGATCGCCCAAGAGGCCTCGGTCCTCGAACATCCACCCCAAAAGATCTTCGACCATCGAGGGTCCAGGAGCCGGCCACACGCAAGAGTGACCATGGCCTTAGGTCGGGCACGTCCTCCTACATACAAGCGGATGTTGGAGGAAAAGTTAGACGTGCTCAACAACATGAAAAATACTCAAAAATACTTGGAACACCGTCCTCATAATCGGAGGTTGGGGGGGGGTTAAACGGAAGTGACCCCAACTGGGAAATCGGCTTCGGCTTCGATTTGTGCGTGCGAGGCGAGGCAGCGCGAGTTCCTGCAATGGTAGAGGCCACATGGAGCACAAAAGGTCGCCCGCCCATCCCCCCCCTGGCCGGGTGCGGCCCCCGATGGTTGTCTCGCGGGCTGTCCCGATGGTGGTCACGATGGGTGTCCCGCTGGTTGTCCCGACGGTTGTCCCGATGGTGGTCACGATGGTTGTCCCGATGGTTGTCCCGATGGTTGTCCCGATGGTTGTCCCGAAGGTTGTCCCGATGGCTGTCCCGATGGTTGTCCCGATGGTTGTCCCGATGGTTGTCCCGAAGGTTGTCCCGATGGCTGTCCCGATGGTTGTCCCGATGGTTGTCCCGATGGTTGTCCCTCTGGCTGTCCCGATGGCTGTCCCGATGGTTGTCCCGATGGTTGTCCCGATGATTGTCCCTATGGTTGTCCCGATGGTTGTCCCGATGGTTGTCCCGATGGTTGTCCCGATGGTTGTCCCGATGGTTGTCCCGATGGGTCCCGATGGTTGCCCCGAAGGGTCTCCCGATGGTTGTCCCGATGGCTGTCCCGATGGTTGTCCCGATGGTGGTCACGATGGTTGTCCCGATGGTTGTCCCTCTGGTTGTCCCGATGGTTGTCCCGAAGGTTGTCCCGATGGCTGTCCCGATGGTTGTCCCGATGGTTGTCCCGATGGTTGTCCCGATGGCTGTCCCGATGGCTGTCCCGATGGTTGTCCCGATGGTTGTCCCGATGATTGTCCCTATGGTTGTCCCGCTGGTTGTCCCGATGGTTGTCCCGATGGTTGTCCCGATGGTTGTCCCGATGGTTGTCCCGATGGTGGTCCCGATGGTTGTCCCGATGGTTGTCCCGATGCGTGTCCCGATGGCTGTCCCGATGGTGTTCCCCATGGTTGTCCCGATAGTGTTCCCGATGGTTGTCCCGATGGTTTTCCCGATAGTTGTCTCGATGGGTGTCCCGATGGATCGATACATCGGAAGACAGATAAATCAATATATGGACAGATAGAT